TTTCATTAATATCCTATACTTACATAATACAAGCATGTATAGATAGTCCCAACTCTACTAAATACAGATTAAAGAATTTCAAACCACCAGGATTCACAAATTCAGGAATTAAGTATTTGTACTTCCTAATAATTACTTGGGAAAAGAATCTGATCTGCGCAATGAGTTCATTTTTTGGTCTATCAATTCTGAGGAAGAGGTGTGACTTTAATAAGTTACGTCATTACCCCACAGATAAGCTAGGCAATGACACTAGTGGGATTGGTTCTGTACAGTCACAGCTCTATTGCAAGTGACCCAGCAACCTCTTCACAAAAAGTGGGAGAAGGAACAAACAGTAAAAAAGAAGGCACTATCACACAAACTCAGCAGCCTATAGGTAGAGAAAAGATGACTTGTAAAGTGTTGAAAACCTAAAACCAAATCCAGAGTACCACTGACGAATAAGCCATTCTTTCAATGAATGAGTCCAGTTCTTCACCTATATAACTGGGTTAATAAGAGAGTCAGTGAATTTAAAAAAAAAAAAAAAAGAGAGAGAGAGAGTCAGTGAAGACTGAATGATAATGCTTTCAATGAAAATATTTTATAGTATAAAATCCCATAAAAATGCCAATTTATACTAAACTGAGTGATCTAGCCCAGTGAATTCCTCTACCTTTGAATTCAAAGTCTCAAGGGCTCACTCAGCGCCATCTGCACCATTGCCCATGAAAGGCAAAGTCAACAGACACATCATCTCTGAGGCTGAGTTAGAGAGAAATCAAAAACAGAGTACTCTTCAATATCAAGAAATTAAGCTGGCAGAACTGAAAAGCCAGAGGTTCAGGATACCCTCATTTTAAAATGGGAGCCAGAAGAAAAGCATCAGAATCCATCAAAATGGGATTCAATTAGAAAAATTACTCTTTAACAAATTTGACTGAATTATTTTTTTTAATTCTTTATGTTTATATATCAATAACATAAATATTTGCTATTATCTTTAAATATCTATTTGTTGTTGGTACTGGCAACATGCAGTGAACCATCTTGCTTTCGGTTACGAAGAAAAGCAAATGGGAAGAAAGTTCAGTAAGGGCCTACTATTGTCACCAGAAAAGTAAAGGGCAGGCCCCTCATACTGATTAGGAGTCAAGAAAGTCATCTTTGCATAGTCAATAATGATGTATTTTCATTTATCTGTGCCCTGGCTCATCCTAAAAGAAAAAAATAAAAGATTTAAAACAGTGAATGGCTACTAACACTAAAACTTAGCTTTGTTTATTATATTCATGTAAATACAGTCTTTTTCACAGAGCATTTAGGAAGCTGGATTTGATTTCTTAGTAAGTTTTGCCATCCTCTCACTAAAAAATCTTGCATAGGCTAAATACATTCGTGATAAATATAAACTACACAGCAAAATGCCTAGAACAGTAAGCAATCCATAAAATGTAGTTTTTTTATTCACATTAGACTTAGCTTGACGAGGGAATGGATTATCTCACTGTCTTGCTCAGCACTCTATCTCATGAAACCTAGCCCATTATCTAGTCCATAGCTGGTATTCAGTGTTGTTGAATCAACAAAGGACTATGACTTAAGAGTATTTTTTATTTTATGGCTACCTATTTTATGGCTACCAGGGCCCCACCTCCTCTAATCAACAGCAAGGGTCTGCAAAAACCATACCCAGAGGAAAGGCATTTAAGTTCCTGTTTATATTTCCTTAAACTCACCACAAAGAGTCCCTCCTTCTGTCCCAAAACCAGAAAATCAATGCTTTGCAACAAAGTATTCTTAAACAATTTTGCTTCATTTCCCCTCACAGGCAATGCAACAAAGTTCCTTAAAACTGCAAGACTTATTTAGTTCCCTTTACCTTTTAAAAAAGAAAGGTATATTATAAAACCTTATCAATTTTTTAAAAAATTGAAAAATTAAAAAAATAAAATAAAACCTTATCAATTTTCAATTTCTAGTCTGATTCCTTGATCTTTTTTTTTTTTTTTAAAAAAGGTTTTTTATTTATTTATTTACGATAGTCACAGAGAGAGAGAGAGAGAGGCAGAGACACAGGCAGAGGGAGAAGCAGGCTCCATGCACCAGGAGCCCGACGTGGGACTCGATCCCGGGTCTCCAGGATCGCGCCCTGGGCCAAAGGCAGGCGCCAAACCGCTGCGCCACCCAGGGATCCCTGATTCCTTGATCTTGAACTCACAGCATACAGGCTGCTGCTTGCCTTTTTACTGTAGACTTAGTGAAAATTAAAATGAGAAAATAGGTTTAACATAAAAAACTTTTAATATACATCAAAGTATATCACACTTAGGAGCAATCAAATTAGGAAACTGACACATATTTGCGTGAGGTTGCATTCCTTAAAATGCTTTCAGAGATTCTTTTTCGGAACAGACTTCAGATCCAGTTCTACAAGTCACACAAGAAATTCTGTCATTACTTTATAGTTATAACTCCTATTTGACCTAAAACAAGACCAACCTGAATGCCTAATCTTTCTCGCCAGACTTGAGTACAAATTCTCTAAATTATTTGAATTCAGCTTGATTTTCTTATTCCCTAAAATCAAATCTGTTCTTAAAGGATGATGGCAGTGAAAAACAACACAGGCTCCAGAATGCTGTTAAGAAAAATTAAAAAAAAAAAAAAAAAAAAAAAAGTTTGCTGCAACACCCAAAACACTGCTAAGAATCTGAAAGAACTGAAAGAATAACTTCAAATAATTCTGAATGAGATGCCACTTACTTATGTATATCTAAATTCTGATATTTTCAATCCAAAATCAATTACATTTGCCATAGTCAACTGACACACATAAGATGCATTTTCTTCCACCAATATACCATATGTCACACTTTAAATCCCTCAGCAGAAATACTACTAAAAACAAGTGAATGGGCTCTGCCTCCTTGTAAAGACACATAAGAAACTTAACAGGGGCTGTCTCAGAGGAAAGGAATAGCACAGTTGGAGAACAAGAAAGGAAAGGATACCTTTCGTTAAATATCCTTTTACGCCTTTTGAATTTTATACAATGTGTATATAATTTTATACATATTTTTTAAAATATGTTTAACAAAATTACTTCCAAGTGTCAGATATTTCTGGCTTCTGTAAGCCAAAAAAGTATAGTACTAAGGAAATGTAAAGGTCATTTTAATGATACTTCACTCTAAATCTGAATCTGCAGTTCCAGGACAGAGCTATTCATACCAACAGTAGGACAACAACTTGCAAGCAGTTGTTTTCAGGTTCACTAAACTCCCCATAGTTGAGCTATTCTGCTGTATCATTACATTAAAGTTTAAACATCATTGGAAACAGAAACTTGATACTACAAAAATTAATGTCAATTATGACATAACAGAATGAAAAAGAGTGGTAAAATAATAAGCTATTAAAGGAGCCATTATCCAAATATATCTCTGAAAATTTGCAAATCAATCACACATATAGATGGATACAGTAAAATGTTGCAAATTCCCTTAAAACGTAAACTGCCATATTATAAAAATGAGGAAAAGATGTCAAGCACGGGACCATCAGCAATATGAACTCACGCAGCTTGAACTAGAAAATGCAATATGATCTGTTGCTTGACACAATTGCACAATCTCAATTACCCAGAAGATTCTAGCAAACAGGAAATTCATTATGTGACTTTAAGAAACACAAGAATTATAAAGATTAACACATCCAAAAGTCTGGAATTCGTTTCCCCACCCCACCCCCACCCCCCCCAAAAAAAAATCTTATGGAGCCCTTTACAAATGATTCACATGAATACAGGAATTAGTTTCAGATCAGCAGCTCTCAAGTTACAGTAACTCTGGAATATGGTGTGTACTACCTAAACTAGTGAAATATTTTAGATCCAAGAATTTTACTGGATCGATCTAATTTAAACACAGTGTGAATTAAAGCTGAGAAGTGTCTCTCCCTTCCTTTGCTATATATTCCCTCTCCTTATGAAAACCATCGTGTACCTCAGGCTACAAATGTAGATCAGTTGCCTGCGAACTCTCTAAAGAACTTTAAAAACACAATATTCACAAGATGTACTGCAATCAAGAAATACTTACAGTCCCTCCCCAGATTGCTCATGATTTTTTGATCTTGAGCGCGTCCAACGGATCTGAATCTCACTTGCTCCAAGTGAAAAAACTGTTTTTGCCAAACAATACTTAAATGAGCAGTGGTATGTGACTAATCGGTGAAGCCGCCAGTTTCTCAAGCTGCAGTGTTCTTGCAGGCACTACCACCCACCCCCACTCGGCGAAAAGGAAATACGCTTTCAACAGAATCGGAAACACACAACTCAAGCTGGCACTAGGCTGGCCGAGATAAAGTCGGTATTTTCGGTTCTTTGGGTCGCTGCTAATGCAAGTGCGAATTCGAAAAGAATGCCTCTCGAAATGAGATTTCGAAAGAGGTCTGCAAAAAAAAAAAAAAAGAAAAAAAAAAAAAAAGCCAGGGCAGAAAGCCCTTGGTCGTCAGTTTTGTTCGGACGCTCGCAGTCTCCCGTAGAGCTTCGCCCTTCTGCTTCTCCCCGCAGCCCCCCGGGCTTGTCTGCTTGGAGGGCAGGCTCCCGCGCGCCCAGAGTGGCTGCACCTCCGCAGAGGCTCCTTCGGCTCGAGGCTGGCAGGGAGACACCCCCACCCCCGGAGAGACACCCCGGCCTCTGTGCCAGCCCCCCTCCCCGAGCAGCACCCCCCCCCAAGAAGGGCTTGCGCAGGGTGCGAGGCAGGGCCGAGCTCCAGCACCACCGCCCACCGCGGACCTGCATCCTGCACGCAGCCGACCACCTCCCTAGGGGTGCAGAGTGAGGGGTGCAGAGGGGTCCCGGGCGTGCAGCGCAGGGGTCGAATGGGCAACGATGCCCTCCCCCAAAGAAAATTCCTACCGCTTGGTGCATCGCTGAGCTGTGTGGGCAGGCCTGGCTCTGGGGTACTGAGGGCCACCAAGCCCACCGCAGACCCAAGCCCGGTGACACTCACCACACGGAGCCATAGGCACCGGAGCCCACCGGGGACAGGTTCTGGTAACGCTCGGGCACCTCCCAGATTGTCTTATTCAGCTCCTGCCGGTAGAACGTGGGCCTCTCCTGAGACATCTTCCAGCGGCGGCCGCGGGGCTAGGAGGTGGCCCTGAGGGGCCCCGCCTGCGCCCGCACCCGCTCCCGGGCCCTCGTCGCCCGCCCGGCCCGGCGGGGACCCGGAGCTGGCAGTCGGCGCAGGTGCGGCAGACGCGACCCCGCCGACTCCCGCGCGCGCGCGCGGCCCCTGTCAGCCGCAGCTGCCGGACGCGCCTCAGCGACGCGGGCGAGCCCCGTGAAGGGCAAGGGCAGGCTGCGGGGCTCGGGGCTGCGCCCACCACGCTCTCCCTGCACCCTCCCCCCGACCGGGCCGACTCCGGGCTGCGCCGCGGAACTGCGGCTCCAGCTGCAGCGCCCGCTCAAGTTCCAGTGATCGCCGCTCCAGAGCCAGCGAACAGGAGTCTCTTGCCGTGCTCTCGCGAGACCAGCTCCCGGGACTCTCCGCGAGCCGAGATTTTACCCAATATGGAACCTGCCCACGGGAGGGGGTGGACTACCGGAGGGGATGGGAGGAGCACTTCTCGCGAGAAAAGAGCAACAGCTGGAGACCAGAGGCAGGAACTCTCGGGGACTGTTCTTAAGGGCGCGAAGGCGGACCCGGGGAAGGGAGGGACAGGCAGGCAACGTACGCCGCGGGCGCCCCACCGTGGTCGGCGGGGCAAACGCCCGGCTCCGTGGCGGGAGGCGACCGCGACTAATAGGGCGTCGGGAAAAGAGCCAAAAGATCTTTGAACTGCCGGTAGTCACCAGCAGCCGAGCATCTGCTCAGCAGAACCTCCAACTTCCAAGAAATACTCACATTTGGAAAAGGAAGGTTCCAGCCAGAAAGCCGTTGTGTTCCATCTGTTCGGGGACATATGGCTTAATCTTCGGAACTGTGACGAACCCTATCCCGAAAGCAAATATTAGCTCCACGTTAAGTCTGAGGTTTTCCACCCAAACTCTCCTAACGGTCTTTAAACGTTTATGTGCAGAAGAATCACTTGGAGTGTCTAAAAAATAAAAATAAAAAAAAAAGAAGCCAAGTCCCAGGACCCACAGGGAGTCTAAGTGGATAGGTCGGTGATAGGCGCCAAGAACGCGCATTTTTATAATATGCTCCAGGCAGTTCTGATTCAGGAAAGTCTCCCGCATCCCCCTTGGAGAAGGATTTTTGAAAAGAGTACTTCTGAGGGTTTGAAACTGAATCCTGCTCTGAAGCTTCCTGCTCAAAAGCTTTAAGCATTTGATTCTTGGTTAAGGAGAGCAAGGCAGAGGGTGTCCTGTTAGGCAAGTCAATTGACCTCTCTTAGACTCTAGTTCCAGCTTCTGCAGAAGTAATTCCTGCCTTACATCCGCGCCTAATAGGGTTAGTGTAAAGCTGAACAAGATAGTGTGAGTGAGCAAGATACTATATAACCATACCTACAGCCACTGTACCCAACTTATTCCTTTGTTAAAGTTTGTTACAATGTCTCTTAGAAGTAACTGGGTCCAAGCCAGGACACTTCTCAACCCTTCCCATGATCATTCTCTTTCGTGTCGTGCATCCTTTGGAATGCTCAGATTTTGCATATCGTGTCCCAGCACCTAGCACAGTGCCTAGAATATAATAGGTACCCCATAAATATTTATTGAACAAATTATGAATAATGACCATGATCTCAACTTGGGAGGTAGTGCAGGATCCTCAGTTCTCCTCAAGGAAAAACAAAAATAAAAACCAGAGTCATGGGTCATTCCTGGAAAGCTTTTCTTGGAGGATCCGATGTGGCTTAGTCTGGATTCCCTCGCCTATGAAGACATGCTGCTTGAAAATGTTCCAAGGCTACCTGCAGGCTAGGGAGCCCTCCAAGAAGTAATGAAGGTTGAAGGAAGAGGCGAGAAGCAAAAATGTGATTGGTAAGAAATGGCGGGTGGGAGTGGGGAATCAAGGTGATGAGTGGATAGATACAAGGGAGGAAACTCGGAAGTAGGAATGAACTTAGGGAATTCATGATTATCCACCAAATTGGGATAGTGAAGTGGGAGTGACAGAAAGGGTAAAAATGAACTAAACAGTACATTCAGTCACTCTTTCAACAAACATGTACCGAATGCCTACTCTGTGCCAGGCACTTCTGATTGATAAAAGGCAATTTAAAAATAGACACAGTTCGGTAGCCAGGGTGGCTCAGCGGTTTAGCGCCGCCTTCAGCCCAGGGCGTGGTCCTGGAGACCCGGGATTGAGTCCCGCGTCGGGCTCCCTGCCTGGAGCCTGCTTCTCCCTCTGCCTGTGTCTCTGCCTCTCTCTCTCTCTCTCTCTCTCTCTCTCTCTCTCTCTCTCTCTCTCTGTGTCTCTCATGAATAAATAAAACCTTTAAAAAAATAGACACAGTTGCTGCCTACATGGAATCTACAACTGACCGAGCGCTTAAACCACATTGTTTAGGCACTGATAATACAACCATCAGAAAAATCCCTGCCAATAAATAAATAAACATTTTTTTAAAAAAAGAAAAATCCCTGCCTTATGGGGGGGGGGCCGATGGGTGACAATCTACAAAAAAGGAACGAAAAAAGTGAATGTGTTAGATTTTAACACAGTAATCGAGCAAGTGTAAAACTGCAGCTGGGCCAAGGAGGAATCCAGGGCGTAGTCACATAGTGACAGGGACTGAGTAAACTTCCAAAGGTTAAAGGGCGGGCGCTGGGGGAGCCCAGCGAGAGACCCGGGCAGAAGACTGTCCTTCGGTGGGAGGAGCCGGGCTTGGGGGGCAGAGAGCTAGGGTTGCAGACTTGAGTGACCTTCCAGCCAGCCTCCAGGTGCTCCTGCGTCTTCCGACCTGACAAAGCCGTAGGGTGCTTTCAGCGAATTGCTGAGCGGGACGTGCAGGGCGCGAGGCCTGGCATTAAGAAGGCCCCCGGTCAAGAGTAGTCAAACCCCAAAGCAAGTGGAGGCCTGGGTGGCACAGGTTAAGGGGCCTCCCCACCCCCACCCCGGGCCCCACCGCAGGTGTGGGTGCTCGCGTCCCCCGCCCGCCGGAACGCCCGCGGGTTCGGGCGCAACGGCTCGGGAACCGCCGGCGGCCGCGTCCACAGCGCCGCCAGCCCGGCCGGAGCAGCGTGGGACCCCGGCGCTGGCACTCGCGCCCCCGCCGGGCCCCGGTGGAGCCGCGGCCGCAGGTTAGAGCCGGGCGTCCGTCGCCCGCCAGCCCAGGCGCTTCGAGAGCGCTCCGCGTGTGTGACCTGAATGAATGACCCCAGTCCGGGGAAAGCTCATTTCTCGGGGGCATCGTCTCTACTAGTCAAAGGACTAGAGGCAACGCTTGCGATTTGCAACCGAATCCTTTCAGACGCATTGGTCTGCTTTGTACTGGGGCTGCAGCCCGAGCCTCTCCTTACCACCCCGCCGTCTCCTCCTGAAGCCCGACTGCCCAGGCCCGCCTTCTACTTCCAGACCTCACTGCTCTGTTCATTTTCTTCCTTCGGATTGAGCCTCCCACGCCCACCTGCCTCGGCTCCTATCTCTTCCTCTTGACTCCTATCAACGTATCAGTGGCCCCCTTGGAAGCCTTTCCAACATCCCTACCCCAGAAATGAGTTTATCTCCAACACACCCCACTGATAATAGTCTCACCAAGTCGCATTAGAAGTAGTTGTTTATGTGTCTGATGGTCAGCTCCTTAGGGGCTGTCAACTTATTATTCATCCCCAGCCACCAGATAGAGAGACTGAAGGATATTTGAAAGCAATGCACCTCGCTTGTGCCGTTGCTGTATTCCAAATACATTCCCTATAAGAACATGAGGTGGTAACAGGCAAATGGCTGTTGTTTCTGATGGAATTACAAATGCTTATTTGAAATTTTGGAAGCGAATTTTACCTTACCATGATTGTAGAGGATAGAGGAAAGATGATGATATGAGGGAAAAGATATTATTGCAACTAAACTGAGGTTCAGGATTTCATATCTATCAGGTCAATAATCAGAAAATTGGGTTCTGTTTAAGTGTTTTATTCTTGGCTTTTTAAGATACTTTTAACACATTATGTAAATGAATAGAGGGATGGCTAGATAAGCATGGGTAGTATGGGGGACATAGGGGATAGGTCAAAAGTGCCTGTTTTAAACAATGCCACCAAATTTAGCACAGAAAGACTGACCAAGTAAAGATAATTGGCTACATTTACAGTGGTCCTCATATTTTACTGCCAGAATCACCAGGAGGGCTTTTTAAACCAACTGCTGGCCCATCCTCAGAGTCTCTGATAAATTAGGTCTTGCTAGGTGGGGCCTGAGAATCTGAATTTCTAACATGTTCCCAGATGATGCTGATGCTATTTGCATGGGCACCAAGTGTGGACTACAAAGATTAAAATAATTTGTTAGTAGTGAAGCCTGATGCCCAAAATCACATTTGTAGACTATGAAAATGAAATCTTAAAAACTTCAGACCCACCGAAATATTTTGTAATGTCAGGAAGCATCAGAGAATTGTTTTATTTTATGTTATGTTGTTTTATTGTAAGAGATAGAGAGTACACTCACACCGGACAGATAGGGTCAGAGAAGGAATCTCAAGCAGGCTTCATGCCCAGCAGGAGCCCAACAGGTGGAGCTGAAATCAAGAGTCAGAGTCTTAACCAACTGAGCTACCCAGGGGCCCCCAGGGACTTGTTTTCTAAGTGGACACTTACCTTCAAGATTTTAGGTAGAGCTTAGCATGTTGTTGATCGTGCTATATACAGAGGCCCATCACACCGATACCTTCAGGAGTCAGTAACAGACACCCCCTCGAATTGTGTCTCAGCCAAAAGGTCATTATCCCGTCAGTGTAGTTTGAAAACTTTTTCTAAAATGCACTGCTTTCTCCACACCAAACTGCATCTGCCTCCTGTAAATAGGAGTTTCCTATCATACTTTGTCACAAGTGCCCTGCTAGTAAATGAAAATGAAGCACTAGGGATTCTAGGAAATCCACAAAGACATAATGGAACTGGACAAACTCCAGAAATGACATACTCCAGACAATAACCACCACCACCACCACAACAAAAAAAACAACCCATAAGGAAATCATGTGTTTTACCTCGCTGCCTTTAGCCAGTCATGTGATGAACCCTGTAAGACAGCTTTCCTGCTGTCCCAGCTCTGCTAACCATCCTCACTGAGGTTCCTCCCACGAGTTATGACTTGATTACTTTTGCCCTAAACTATAGTAATAGTAGTGGCCTCCAATTAGACTTTTTGCTTCAGTCTCTCCTGTCTGATAGAACTTTTCTCTGATAGTGGAAATGATTTATACCTACACTGTTCAGCATGATAGCCTCTGCCACATGTGGCTGGTGAGCACTTGATATGTAACTAGCTCAACTGAAGAATTTTTTATTTTATTTTATTTTAATGAAATTAAATTTAAATAGCCACAGGTAGCCAGTGGCTACCATACTGGACACTATACCTTTAGAGCATACCACTGACACAATTCATTTCCCAAAGCACTTCCCTGTGCATATTACTAGTCCTGCTCAAGCACTTTATTTTTTTTTTCATCATGAGAAGTGTACTATTTAATCCCCACCCCCTATTTCACCTATCTCCCTACTTCCCCCCCCCCCCAGTAGCCCTCTCCCCCAGGCAGAGGGAGAAGCAGGGTTCCCTGCGGGGAACCTGATGTGGGACTTGATTCCAAGACCCCGAGATCCTGAGCCAAAGGCAGATGCTCAACCAATGAGCGTCCCTGCTCGTATATTTTCTTTCTTAAATTCCACATATGAGGGCAGCCTGGGTGGCTCAGCAGTTTAGCACTGCCTTCAGCCCAGGGCATGGTCCTGGGGACCCGGGATCAAGTCCCACGTCGGGCTCCCTGCATGGAGCCTGCTTCTCCCTCTGCCTGTGTCTCTGCCTCTCTATATCTGTTTCTCGAATAAATAAATAATATCTTTTAAAAAATTCCACATATGAGTGAGACATATCGTCTTTCTCTAACTTCTTTCACTTAGCATGATACTCTCTAGCTCCATCCATGTTGTTGCAAATGGTAAGATTCCATTCTTTTTTTATGGCTGAGTTATATTCCATTATATATATATATACCACATCTTTACCCATTCATCTATTGATGGACAATTGGGCTGCTTCCATAGTTTGGCTATTGTAAATAGTGCTGCAGTAAACATAGGGGTGCATGTATCCCTTTGAATTCTCCCTCTGCCTATGTCTCTGCCTCTCTCTCTGTGTCTCTCATGAGTAAATAAATAAAACCCTTAAAAATTTAAAAAAACAAACAAAGGAAAAAAGAGAGAGACAACCAAGAAAAAGACTCTTAACTATAGAGAACAAACGAATGACTACTGGAGGAGGTAGGGAGATAGGTGAAGTAGGGGATGGGATTAAAGGGGTGCATGTTATTCTGGCAGTAAGTGCCCAGTAACACAATTACTGGATTGTAGCATAGTTTTATGTTTAATTTTCTGAGGAATCTCCATACTGTTTTTCACAGCAGCTGTACCAGTTTGCATTTCTATCAATAGTGCAAGAAGGCTCCTTTTTCTCCACATCCTTACCAACACTTGTTTCTTGTGTTTGTAATTGTAGCCATTCTGACAGGTGTGAGTTGATAACTCATTGTGGTTTGGGTTTGCATTTCTCTGATGATGAGTAATGTGGAGCATCTTTTCATGTGTCTGTTGGCCAACTGAATGTTTTCTTTGGAGAAATATCCATGTCTTCTCATTTTTTAATGATTTATCTTTGGGGTATTGAGTTGTATCTGTTCTTTATATATTTTGGATACTAACCTTTTATTAGATATGTTATTTACAAATATCTTCTCCCATTCTGTAGGTTGCCTTTTAATTTTGTTGATTGTTTCGCTGTCCAGAAATTTTTTATTTTGATGCAGTCCCAATAATTTACTTTTGCTTTTATTTCCCTTGCCTCAGGAGACATATCCAGAAAAAAAATATAAATGATGTAGATTGAAGGTAATAAAATGAAATCTTACTTCCTGTAAGTGAAATAGTGGGATGTAATGCCTCCAAAGGGCATGACACCAGAAAATATAAATACCTTAGCCTGGAAAGAAAATTAGAGAAAGTCTTGGGGGATAAACTGTAATTTGTGATGGGAGAAGATGGGGGTATTTTGTGTCTTTGACAGCAAGGCTCTTGGTACAGAGATCACACACTGATGGTCCACGGGCTGAATTGGCCTGCAGAGGGGTTTTGTTAGATATGTTCTGTGTTTAAAAAAAAAAAAATGGGTAAAGTAATTGGCAACATTTCAAAGTGAGAGGACTTCAGATAAAAATCTGCAATTGTTGCTCACCTTGAAAATGATCAGACCTGGCCAGGCTGAGCCCCACATGACCCATGCCAGCCATTGCTGGAGCATAGGAACTATCCACACTGCTCCCTCTGTGCCCTGAGGTGTATATGCTGCCTGCTTCGTGCCAACCCTGCCTTGGTGCCACTTTCAGAAACAAAATGCTGAATTCCAAACCCTGGATCCAACCCAGGATGGCTGGGGTTTTTTTGTTTTTGTTTTTCTTAGTAATCTCAGTATGGGATCCCTGGGTGGCGCAGCGGTTTAGCACCTGCCTTCGGCCCAGGGCGCGATCCTGGAGACCCGGGCTCGAATCCCACGTCGGGCTCCCGGTGCATGGAGCCTGCTTCTCCCTCTGCCTATGTCTCTGTGTGTGTGTGTGTGTGTGTGTGTGTGTGTGTGTGTGACTATCATAAATAAATAAAAATTTAAAAAAAATAATCTCAGTATAATTGGCAGGTTGATTAGGCTCTCTCAGTTGCCAGGGAAAGATATATTCTTGGGACACCTGTGTGGCTCAGCAGTAGAGTGTCTGCCTTTTGCTCAGGGCATGATCCAGGAGTTCTGGGATCAAGTCCCACATTGGGCTTCCTGCATGAAACCTACTTCTCCTTCTGCCTCTCTCTGTGTCTTTCATGAACAAATAAATAAAATATTTTTTTAAAAAAAGATATATTCTAGCAACGGAAGCTTATTGTAGGATTACATGGGCAAAGTAAGGAAGACTGGATGAATATTCCTGTGGGTGGGAGAAGAAAAGGAAAAATATTACTTGTTTTAATGTGCATTTCTGTTTTTCTGAGAAACACAGAAATTACTAATCCTCCTAAGTGATACATTGTAAAATATCTCTTTCATCCTCTTCTACATCCCCCAATCACATTCTCGTTTTATTAAATTTGTGATCTTCAGTTCATAGGTACTATACAACACACGACTACTACTCAGTGCTTTGAGGGTAAAAATACAACCTATGACTATGGCCCAGTTAACTTTTCAAAAACCTTGGTTTTATCACCTATAAAATGGGGGTAATAGCACTAGGATTGTCCTGGAAATTATATGAAATAACTCATGAAAAAAATCAAGTGCAATGTTTGGTATATAGTAAGTGCTCTATAATTATTGGTGATGATGATGATGATGATAATGATGATACATGATCATTCTGAAGGAAAACAGAGTTGCTGATACATTAAACTTGTTTTCAGCCTCACCTATAAAAGAACTACTTGGGTAATCTACAAATTTTGAGTGTTTACCTAGTTATCTTATAGCTATATAATATATAGATATACTTTTCTGCATTTATGTGGGAGCAGTTTAGAGCTTATGCTTTTTTTATTGTTCAGAAATATAGATGAGGGGCACCTGGATGGCTCCGTCAGTTAAGGGTCTGATTCTTGATTTTGGCTCAGGTCATGACCTCAGGGTCATGGGATCAAGCGCCGAACCAGGCTCACACTCAGCAAGTAGTATGCTTGGGAGTCCTTCTCCCTGTTCTCTCTCTCTCTCTCTCTCTCTCTCTCTCTCTCTCTCTCTCTCAAATAAATAAATATATAAAGAAATAAAGTATTTAAAAAAAATACCCATAGGTGATCAAGAATGATTATACTGGAACACCTGGGTGGCTCAGTGGTTTAGCACCTGCCTTCGGCCCAAGGCAAGATCCTGGAGTCTCAGGATCAAATCCCACATCGGGCTCCCTGCATGGAGCCTGCTTCCTCTGCCTGTGTCTCTGCCTCTCTCTTTCTGTGACTCTCATGAATAAATAAATAAAATCTTTAAAAAAATGATTATACTTTCTCCCAGAAATGGATCTATAGCCATCTTCAGTAACTCCTCATTTTCTTAAAAGAGCAGGATAATATAGACTTTTAAAACTTAATGTGACCCTTAGAGGCCATGTGTTCATTCATGTTATTTTATGCATGAAACTGAAGGAAACTGAAACCCAGTTTCTGAGACACTTGCCTCTAATCATATAAACTAGTTAGAAAAACAGCCAGGGCTGGAACTCCAGGCTCCTGATAGCCTGTGCAAAGTTTTCTCTGCTGTGCCCTGGTGCCACTAGCTGGGTACTCGACAATCATTCAAGAAATATTCATTGAGGGCTTGCTATGTGTCAGACAGTATTCTGGCACCTGGGGATACAGCCACGAACAAAGTCCTGCCTCTTGGGAAACAGACAACAGACAGACAAATATTGAATCAGGTCCTGACAGGTGCTATGAAGAAAAGGAAGGGATAAAAGGAAGAAGATACTATATTAACCACTTAATCTTTACTGTTTTCAGTGAAAATTGAAGGTTATACTGACTTTTACCTCTTAAATCATTTCCCCTACAACATAGCAACATAACTGAATATAAAGAAAACTAGATTTCCTAGCAAGACACTTGGGTTCTAGTCCCGACCCTAATTATTAAACAGCCAAGGAAGGCTATTTAAACTTTTGGGTTTCTCCATTTGGAAAATGAGAATAATACACACTTTGCATTTTTTATACAATGGTTTTGAGTATAAAATTGTACAAGAGAAAGTTTTTTAAAACAGTAATGTGTTGAGATGCCTGGGTGGCTCAGCGGTTTAGCACCTGCCTTCAGCCCAGGGCATGATCCTGGAGACCCAGGATCGAGTCCCACATTGGGCTCCCTGTGTGGAGCCTCCTTCTCCCTCTGCCTGTGTCTCTTCCTCTCTCTATCTTTTTGTGTCTCTCATGAATAAATAAATAAAATCTTATTAAAAAAAAGTAATGTGTTATGTAAATGTAAGATATCATTATATATGTAAATTTAATTTCCATAAAAATGTACCAAGAATCTAGATTTTTTAAATTTGTTTTTTGTTTAAAAAATATATAAAATAAATTGTTTTTTGTTTTAACTCTTCCCACTCAACCAGGAATGATGCAACCAGAGAGGAGTGCCCAGAGTTTTGGCTATAAATATAGGCAAAATTCTTTCACATATGATGTCAAGCGAGATGTGTACAATGAGGAGACCTTTCAACAGGAACACAGAAGGAAGAGTATTTCCTCTGGGAACTTGGACATCGACATTACCACCTTCAGACATCATGTCCAGTGCCGGTGGGTGTGTGGGGTCATTCAGCAACTTTCATGCTGGCAGCAGCAAAACCCTGCTTTACTCCTTCAGTACCTACTTCTGTCTTCCTCTTTTGAATTCCTGTCATCAGGACCCTTATTTTCCTGTGTAATTTTTTGTCAGTTGTTTGTTTGTTTATGGTTTGTCCTGTAGCATCCTGTTGATTATAAATTTCTTGGGCATAAAGACCTCAGATGTCCCCAACAGCATCTGGGAATAACAATGAATAATAATAATAATGATTAACTATTGTTTCCAGTCTTCCAACAGCCACAGCCTGTGACAGCCACAGTGACTGGGTAGGTCCCACAGTTCAGGGGCTCTTCACCTGTTTTTTTTTTGTGCTATGAACCTTTGAGCAGTCTGATAAAGCTTATGAACATCTTTTCAGAAATTCTTTTTTTACTTAAAAAAATTGTGGTAAAATAGATACAACCGAAGATTGGCCATTTTAACCGTTTGAAATGTACAAATCTACAGCATTCAGAACATTTCATGATGTTGTGCAACCATCACCACTGCTTTCAAAACTTTTTCATCACCTCAAACAGAAACTTTGTACCCATTAAGCAATAATTCCCCATTTTCCCCCACCCCTAGCCCCTGGTAACCTCTCCTCTAGGTTCTATCTCTATGCCTAAATAAATAAAATCTTTAAAAAAAAGAAACTATCATGAAATCTAAGATTATGAAGATTTTCCTCTGTTTTCTTTTAAGAGTTTTCTAGATTTAGCTCTTAAATTTAGATTCTTGATTGATTTTGAGTTGATTTTGTATATGGTATAAAGTAAGGGTCTGACTTGATTCTTTCCATATGGAGATCCCATTTTCCCAGCACAATTTGTTGAAGAGACAGTTCTTTCCTCATTAAGTGGTCTTGGCCAGAATATTTTTAATGCATAAAATACATAGGATTATAAAGGAAATCAGTTAGGTTGAAATATAGTTCTCAAAATATTTTTTTAAAATATTACAATTATGTTATTTAATAATGTGAATCTAGTAGCTACCATAATTTCAAGGTAATTGAAAATAAATGATATCTTAAGATCTCTGCAACAATCTTAATATAATATGAACATATTGTGATTTCTATTGGTGACAAAGTCAGGTTCTGCTGATACTTTCAGTGGTTTGTTGTAATATTCATCACTGGTGGAAATGCTAAATTTCACTTAGGGGTAGTGAAAATAAAGGTATAATTTTTCCTAAGTTCACATACCTACAAATTCTATCTATAGACCCCATGGGGGTCCATAGACCTCATTGAGGACCCCTTTGACCTACCTCATTATACAAACCCCTAATTATTCAAGTTGTCCTCACTCACACTTGAGATTTATCAATCTCTCTCATCCCTTAATTTATCACTGTGGTTGGCATGTTTTGGATGACAAGACAAGAAGGCCTCCATACCATCCTATTGTAGACCTTCTTTCTCTGACACATTCTCCTTTGTCCATATCCTGCCTTTTGTCTTGGAGACCCTCCCCAGTCCTACATCACTACTCTCATTTTCTCTACTCCAGATGGCTCAGAAGTCATATGTCAAAGAGGGGGCTTGGGGGCACATTGGCTTTGTCTCTACACAAGAAGAGTCTTTTCCTGACTTTTAATTCATCATAAAAAGGTACTACCAAAGAAATTTTAGCCTAACTCCCTTCCACCTGCCCTATGCTTGGACACTTAAATCTGATCAATTCTGCCTCCTAATGGGCTTTTCTAGCAGTTCTTTTTTTTTTTTTTTAAGATTTTATTTATTCATTCATGAGACACACAGAGAGGCAGAGCCCAGGCAGAGGGAGAAGCAGGCTCCATGTAGGGAGCCCAATGTGGGACTCCATCCTAGAACTCCGGGATCACACCCTGAGCTGAAGGCAGACACTCTACAGCTGAGCCACCCAGGCATCCCTTATTCCTTATTTGTAAAACATACAGTTTTATCCACTTCTGGATTTTTAACATGAAAGGTAGCACAACTCTGTGGCTAAGAACAAGACTCAGAAGCCAGATTACTTGGTCTTGAATCCCAGTTCTGCTGCTTCCCAACTGCGTGACTTGAAGTAAGCTATCCAACCCTACCTTGCCTCAGTTTCCTCATCTGTAAAAATGGGGATGATACTAGTATCTACTTGATTGTGAGGATTTAAGGAGTATTTGTAAGGCACCTAGCAAATAAAAAACACTATATACATGAGTGTTTTAGTTAAAAAATCTTTGAACTCCATCTCTTCTTTTTTTTTTTTTTTAGATTTATTTATTTATTTGAGAGAAAGAGAGCAAGTTGGGGGGAGGGGCCGAGGGAGAGAATCTTCAGGTAGACTCTGCTCTGAGCCTGACAGAGGGCTCCATCTCATGACCCATGGATCATGACCTGAGCTGAAACCAAGAGTCAGACACTCAACTGACTGAGCCACCCAAGTGCCCCCACCACCTCTTCTTTGACAGAAAATCTCATCTCTTTCCTCATTTTCTTCCTTTTCATTAGCAACTACAAATACTCCCTTTCTTATCAGAATGCCCCCTGTATTTCCACATAGACTCTTAGATTCCTTGCTGTTATGATGCTTTGAATAAAATCCAGATTCATATCAAAATGCTTATACCGTTCCCCCACTGGATTCAATTCCTATTCCTCTAGTTCTTGCCTTAATATTCTTTTATTTCTAGGGCCTCATCATTCCATGTCCACTGTATTTTTTCCATGCTAAAGATCTTTGATGACTCTGCCTAGGGTGACTTCTGCCCAGTGGCACATGGAGAGAAAGAGAGACTGACCAGATGAAAAACCAAATTGTCCCAGTGACTTGCTCTACTCTCTCCTTTGAGGGTCATAATTGGAGAGACTGTGTACTCACACTGTGTACACCTGCCTAACATTCAGGGACTCTCATAAAATAGCAATGGTCTTTTTCCTGGCTCCCAAACAGAATTTAATAGCTGTCAATATGAACTATGGTGGTAATAGAGTAAATAGAATACTGAAGTAGGCATCAGAAGACCTGGTTTGTAGCCCCAGCTCTGTCAACACTATTTGACCTTGGAAAAATGACATGCTTATTTGGCCTTAATTACCTTAGAGATCATAGTGCTCATAGTTGTGAGAGTCAAACATACATGAAATTCTTTATGAGCACACTTTTTAGCTTTGGATACGCTAAAGTTCTATTTGTTGCTGTAGTCAAATCCCAGTTATTCAATTACAGCTCATAGATGAAAAGCCTTCATATTTTTTGCTTTCAGCCCATACTAAATGTAAATAGCAAAAAGCAACTTAAAACCAAATTAGTTTTACTAGTTGATTGATTAACCAATTGACTGATTGATTAACAATGATTCTGCTGTTTTAGATGATTTGAAGGTTAATGTAGGTTTTCTCAATCTCAGCATCATTAATATTTTGGACTAGAAAATTGTTTCTTGTGGGGGCTGGCCTATGCACTATAGAATGTATAGCAACATCCCTGGCCTCCACCCACTAGATACCAGTAGCACCCTCTCCCTCAATTGTGACACCCAAAAATGTCTCCAGACGTTGCCAAATGTCCCCCAGATAACAAAAATGATTCTGATTGATGTTCACTGGGTTAAAAAATAATAAAGCTTTATTTTGTTGCTTTTTCTTTATATGGCTAACTCCTAAAGCATAGGATTCCAATATCTACATTTTCTATAAATTTCCACATACTACAGATCAAAGCCACATAAAGTTAATGTTCAGTAAAAAAAAAAAAAAAGTATATGGGAATAATGTGGATGTGTTAATTGCCCCTGTCTCCCAACAATGTCACATCTCAAAACACTGTCCTCAAGAGAAAGCAGTAACAGTCCGTTTTTCTACTGGAAAATTGGTAGGTTTAATTCTTTCCAAACATCCCATTTTGTATGCTAGACGATAAGGCTTAGTTCTTGTCATATATACATGAGATTTGGTTCTCAGCCAGAGGTGACTTTGTCCCCCACAGAATATTTGACAATGTTTGGAGACATTTTTGGGCTGTCACAACTAGGGGAGGGAGTGCTATTGACATCTGGTGGGTGAAGGCCAGGGATGCTGCTAAACATCCCACAATGCATACGACAGCCCCACAACAAAGAATTATCTCATCCACTATGTCAAAATATCAATAGTGCTAACAAGAAACTCTGTTGTATGGGAAGAATTATGCACCGTGCCTTTTCTTGGTATGTGGGTTTTTTATCCTTGGAAAATCTAATCAAATCTCTGTTCTTCTTTCTCACAGCTGTTCATGGCACAAATTCCTGAGATGCATACTAACGATCTTTCCTTTCCTGGAGTGGGTGTGTTTGTATCGGTTCAAGGATTGGCTTATTGGAGACTTACTTGCTGGTATAAGTGTTGGCTGTGTGCAAGTTCCCCAAGGTAAGGAAGCCTTTTCACCCACAATTTATCAGACATTGTCTGTTTATCCAGAGTAAACAATTACCTGTGTTAGAGGAATAGAAAAAATAGGTGCATTCCAATCACATTACTACCATTTATTCCCTTATCTGCCATATTACTAACTCTTCCAGGGTGGTTCCAAAAGATTCAGTTAGCTTTGGAGCACCCTGATGGCTCAGTTGGTTAAGCATCCAATTCTAGGTTTCAGCTCAGGTCATGATCTCAGGGTCTTGGGATCAATCCCATGTTGGGGCTTTGCTCTCAGTTGAGAGTCTGCTTGAGATTCTCACTCTCTTTCTCTCCCTCTGCCCCTCTCCTGCTCTCTTTCTCTCTCTCTCTCACTCTCTCTCTCTCTCTCAAATAAATAAAGTACATCTTTAAAAAAAAGACTCAGTTAGTTTATATAGAATACTTTTAAGATACTTGGATTGCCCATTCAAGCATTGGTCTTTTTTTGCTTAATTAGTCATTTAATATTCACACAACTACAATAGTCCTCACTTGGCATTGGTTATACTTAGACAGGTAAAGAATAGGAAACACAGCATGCTAGCATCTCTTCAGTAAGTTACACACACAGCAGTCCAGGGGCCACTCTTTGGTCTTCCAAGTGGCAGTTCAGATAGAAGACAACAAAATCAAACAGACAGAGGTACAGGAGCTAATTGGGCTTTAGAAGCCTCATTTCCTGAATAGGAACCAACATCTCTTGTAATTCTCATAACTGTTGTTTTCAGAGTCCCACAAATGGCATGCCCAATTACAAGAGTTATCGTGCTCAGAAAAGCTCAAAGCCAATGATTCCCACTGGATATTTAGCCTTCATTCACAATCTTCTTGGTCCACGTACAGAATAATCAGGCATTTTTACCATAACCAATGTTGGCTGGTAACACAGCTGACATTTCACCGTTACCAGATTCCCAAAGGAAGAGCTAGAAAGTTAATCCAACACCAAATTTATCCACAGAGAAGGAGAAAAGATTTTATTAATCCTTTACTTACAGTAGTTTGCAATTCCCTACTAGTATTTAAGCACTGTTTCTCTATCCTTCTGGGGCCAGTCAGGCAGGTATGAAAGTAAAAAAGAGGCCAAACAAAGGGTCAAGTGGTAGCTAACATCCAACTCTGGCACAAGGCTGTTAGTTGGAGAAAAGGGATCCCTTTTTAAGAGCTACAGTAAAAATTGACTTTGTTTTTTCCTTTTGGTGTTCAATTCTACAAATTTGTACACATGTATGGATTTATGTTACCACCACAAAATGAAGAAACAGAACAGTTCTGTCAGCCCCAAAACACTCTTGTACCATTCATTTTAGTCCCATCCTCCCCTGGCAACCACTGATCTGTACTCTATTACCACAGTTCTGCCTTTTTGAGACTATCATCTGAATGGACTCATATAATATATAACTGTCAAAGGCTGGCTTCCTCAATTCAGCACGATGTCTTTGAAATTAGTGGAAATTGTAATATGCATCAATAGCTTTATTGCTGAATAGATTGTCCATTGCATGGCTGTGGATGAGAAACCAGAGTTTCTCATTCACATGTTGGTAGACATTTCATGTCTAGTTTTTGTCCCAAATAAAGTTTCTATGAACATTCCAGTACAGGTTTTTATGAAAACATAGTTTTCATTTCTCTAAGGTAAATACCCAGGAGTGGTATTGCTGGTCATATGGTAGGTATGTGTTTATAAGAAACTACCAAACTGTTTTCCAGAGTGGCTGTGCCTACCATTGTTCATTCCTACCAACAATGTATGAGGATTTTAGTTCCTCCACACCCTTCGCTTGATGTTGACTGTATTTTTAAACTAAACTTCCTATTTTGAAATAATTATAGATTCACAAGAGGTGACGGGTGGCACTGTCAGTTAAGTATCTGACTCTTATTTTCAGTGCAGGGCATGATCTCAAGGTCATGAGATAGACCCTGCATCGGGCTCCAAGCTCAGCAAGGAGTCTGCTTGAGATTACCTCTCTCCCTCTCCTTCTGCCTCCTCTTCTCCCCACTTGTACTCTCTTTCTCTTGCTCACTCTCACTCTCTCTATAAAACAAATCTCTAAACAATATATAGATTCACATGCATTTGAAAGAAACTGCAGAGAGATTCCTTGTATCCTTTCTCCACTTTCCCAAATGGCAACATCTTACAAGACTACAGTTCAATCCCACAACCAGGGTATTAACATTGATATAGTCAAGATATAGAACATTTCCACCACTACAAGGGATCCATCATGTCGCCTTTTTATATTACCCCCACTTGCCTCTTGCTCTTATTTCCTCCTTAACCCTGGCAACCACTCATCTGTTCTTCATGTCTAGAATGTTGTCATTTCAAGAAAGTTATATAAAATAGAGTCATATAGTTTGGAACTCTTTGAGATTGCCTTTTTTTTTTCACTCATCTTAATTCTCTGAAGATTCATCTAGGTTTTTGTCTGTATCAATAGTTTTTCCTTTTTATTGCTGAGTGGTATTCCATGCTATGGATACACCATAGTTTATTTAAACATAAACACCCTTAAAGTATGTCTGGATTGTTTTCAGGCTTTGGCTATTACAAATATAGCTGCTGGTATCCCTGGGTGGCTCAGCAGTTTAGTGCCTGCCTTCGGCCTAGGGCACGATCCTGGAGTCCCAGGATCGAGTCCCATATCGGGCTCCCTGCATGGAGCCTGCTTCTCCCTCTGTCTGTGTCTCTGCCTGTGTGTGTGTGTGTGTGTGTGTGTGTGTGTGTGTGTCTCATGAAAAAATAAATAAAATCTTAAAACAAAACAAAACAAAAAAACAAATATAGCTGCTATGAACATTTGTGTGTAGGTTAACGAACATAGTATTCATTTCTCTGGGATAAATGTCCAGGAGCACAATAGTGAGATTATAGAATAGTTATATCTTTAGATTTTTAAGAAACTGCCAACCTCTGTTCTAGAATGGTTGTATCATTTTATATTCCCACCAGCAATCTATGAGTGATCCAATTGCTCTGCATCCTCACTAACACTTGATGTTGTCACTACTTTTTTTCCTTTTTAGCCATTCTAATAAGGATGTCTGAGATCTCATTGTAGTTTCAGTTTGCATTTTCCTAATGCCTAATGATGTTTAAGATCTCCTATGCCAATTCCCCACTTGAATATTTTAATGAAATAGCTCTTCTTGTCTTTTGTTCATGTTCTAATTGGATTATTTACATTTTCACTGTTGAGTTTCAAGAGTTATTCATGTATTCTAGATATTGGTCCTTTATCTTTTGTGTTTTATAAATATTTTCTTCCAATCTGTAGCCTGTCTTTTCATCCTTTTAACAGAGTATATACAGAGCAAAAGTCTTCATTTTGATGAAGGCTAGATTTTATTGTCTTTTGTAGCCATTCTAAGAGTTATGTAGTGATGTCTCATTGTGGCTTTAATTTGTATTTCCCTAATGGCTAATGAGATTGAACATCTTTTCATGTTCATATTTGCTATCCTCATAACCTCTTTTTTTTAAAGATATTTACTTATTTGTTACTTGAGAGAGAGAGAGAAAGAGCATGAGCTCTTAGTCATAAGCTGGAGAGGGAGAGGACAGACAGGCAGAGAGAATCTCAAGCAGACTCCACACTGAGCATGGAGCCCCACATGGGGCTCAGTCTCACTATGCTGAGATCATAACCTGAGCCAAAACCAAGAGTCAACCACTCAACTGACTATGCCACCCACCCACCCCTATACTCATCTCACATGCTTTTTAGTGAGATGCTTGTTCAACAACTTTACCCAATTTTTTAATTGGAAAAAAATTTTTGTTTTCCTATTGTTAATTTTTGAGACTTCTTGATATATTCTGGATACAAGTCCTTTGTCAGATAGGTGGTTTGCGAATATTTTCTCTGAGTCTATAGCTTATATTTTCACTCTCTTAATAGTGTATTTGACAGAACAAACAGTTTTAATTTTGATGAAGTCCAATTTATCCTTTTTTTTCCTTTTATGAATTGTGCTTTTCCTATTGTATATAAGAACCTTTCTAATCCCATATCACAAAGATTTTCTTTTATGTTTTCTCCTAAAAGTCCTATAGTTTTATGTTTTACATGTAGATCTATGATCTATTTTGAGTTAATCCTTACATACAGTATGAAGTTTAGGTCAAAGTTTATTTTTTGTTACATATTTAACATCATTTTTAAAGAAGGCTATCGTTCACTGAATGTTTTTACGCTTTTCTCAAAGATCAAATAGACATATTTTTGTGTATTTTGTGGGTCCATTTCTGGACTCTATTCTGTTCCATTGATCTAGTTGTCTATCTCTTTACAAATATCATGTCTTGATTATTGTATTTTTATAGTGAGTCTTAAAATTGGGTAGTGTGATCCTTCCGATTTTGTTCTTTTTCAAAATTGTTTTAGCTATTTTTCTATATAAATTTTATCATCAGCTTGTTTATGCCTACAAAAAAAATCCTACTGAGATATGGATAGCTGTTACATTAACTCCATAGAGCACTTTGGGGATAATTGATATCTTTATGTTGAGTTTCCAACCCATGATCATGGTATATATCTTCATTTACTTTGGCCTTCTTTGATTTCCTTCATTAGCATTTGTATTTCCTTCATTAGCATACAGATCCTGCAAATGTTTTGTTAGAATTATATCTAAGCATTTCATTTTGGAGGAGATACTGATTGTGGTAATTAAAAACAGTTTGTGTTTCCAATTATTCATTGTTTACATATAGAAATACAATTGATCTGTGTGTTCACCTTGCATCCTGCAACTCATTTATTAGTTCTAAGAATCTTCTGTAGATTCCTTGGTATTTACTACATTGATAATCATGTCACCTGCTAATAGGGACAGTTGTGCTTCTTTCTAATCTGAATGACTTTTATGACTTTATCTTGCTTATTGTGCTGGCTAAGACTTCCATTACTATGCTGAATAAGAGTGGTGAGAATAGACATTTTTACCTTGTT